AAATCAGAATTTTTGGACATAAATAAGATATATCACATATATATATATATATATCCAAGGCAAATAATTATTGCATTAATTCCAAATGCCCAAAATAAATACTTATGAGCTCCTGAAAATGTTGGTTTGATTTTTATCTCTGTCCAATATTTTCAGAGAGCAACATGAGCATTTTCTTGGACCTTTTTGGAGCAATTTTTTTATTTGGGTCATTTCCAGAATGATTCTTAGGGTTTCACAAATCCCCATTTCAAATTTAAATGAAATTTAAACAAGATGCAAACATGAAGGCTAGCCTAGGTCATACCAGAACTAGGGATGTGACATAATATCTGCAGCAAAGTATTTAGTAGCAAAGTAGTATGGAAGTAACGGTAACAATGGAAAAAGTAACACTAGCAGTTTTGTAGCAATTGTGAAAGTGGCAATGGAAAAGTAACTTAGCAAAGATCAATATGAAACAAACTCGTAGGCAATGGAACAATGATGGATAATTATGTCGGACGACATTCATCATGCAATAGTTATAAGCTAGGTGTCGGTGTACTAAAGTAGGGGTACCTTAGTATCCCGAACTTGTGCACGGGCAGTCGCAGCATCCCGCGGCAAGGCTTGCCGGGTGACCGCCAAGGTCCTCCGTGGTTCCTTTGGAGCCATTCAAGGACAAAGTATCCAAGCCAAGGAGACAAGACCCTGGCAAGAGGAGCTTGCCGGGAAGGCCAACCAAGGCATCTCAAGGAACTTGCCGCGACGCGCCACGCGTCCCGGCAAGGCCCGGTGAGCGACAAGCTCCCGGACGCGACAAGACAACGACCGCGCCAAGGCGCTTGCCGCGGCAAGCCACCACTCCGTGCCCGCGCTCCAGCACATCCACCAACATGTCGCTCTGGGACCCTTCCAGGCGTACGTGGCGGGAGGCTGTGCAGCCAGCGGTGCGCGGTGGCAAACGGCGCTGACAAGATTGCCTTCGTGGCGAGCGGTGGCGTCCCTGACGGTCCCTTTTGCACTATTTAGGCGACGTAGACGGGCATTTAATGCCCTTGTCCCCTGCCATCAGGGTTAGGTATGATACACTGTAGCAGGTAGCTGTACCTACCGCAACACCTTTCCATTTTTACCCTTGTCTACGTTGCCACCTGTCGGTGACCCCTTGAGCATATAAAAGGAGGCCCATGCGCAACATAGAGGAGGTGGGAGGGAACACTCAGGCTCGGTCTCGTTAGCTGTTGGGGTGTACTGTAGCACTCCACGCTCCCGAGCAAGAACTCAATACAAACCACAAAGCAGGAGTAGGGTTTTACGCATCCGTGCGGCCCGAACCTGGGTAAACCGCTCGTGTGCTTCACCTCGATCCGCTCTTCGTGTGACCCTCGCCCCCGCCGAACCGAAAGGGACTCGGTCCGCCGGTCCCATAGGTGCTCGTGGATTAGTCCCCCGGCACTAGGGTGACACATAACTAGGTCCAATTCGACAATATAATGTAGGCATAGCAGACTAAGGCATAGCTTAGTGGTTGGAAGGGGTTGATGCCTTCCCACCCACCCAGGTTCAAGGCATGGTACTTGCAATTCGGGTTTGTTGCACCAATTATACTGTAGGGGGTTCCCTTACAGTCTTTCTATCAAAAAAATTTAATAATTTAGGCACGTATTCAGAATATAGTCATATGTGCTTATGGAAAAGAACTTGTATGACATCTTTTGTCCTATCCTCCCATGGCAGCGGGGTCCTAATGGAAACTAAGGGATATTAAGGCCTCCTTTTAATTGAGAACCGGAACAAAGAATTAGCACTTAGTGAAATACATGAACTCCTCAAAGTACGGTCATCACCGGGAAGTGTCCCGACTATTGTCACTCTGGGTTGCCGGATCATAACATGTAGTAGGTGACTATAACTTGCAAGATAGGATCAAGAACACAAATATATTGATGAAAACATAATAGGTACAAGCATTAAGCATAGCAAAGTCATAGCAACATCAATCTCAGAACATAGTGGATACTAGGGATCAAACCCTAACAAAACTAACTCGATTACATGATAAATCTCATCCAGCCCATCACCGTCCAGCAAGCCTATGATGAAATTACTCAAGCACGGCGGTGAGCATCATGAAATTGGTGATGGAGGAAGATTGGTGATGATGATGGCGATGATTTCCCCTCTCCGGAGCCCCGAATGGACTCCAGATCTGGCCACCCGATGAAGAACAAGGGGTGACGGTGGATCCATATCGTAAAACGAGATGAATCCTTCTCTCTCATTTTTTTCTCCCCGAACATGAAGGTATGGAGTTGGAGTTTATGTTGGTGGAGGTCCAGGGGACCCAGAAGGCAGGGGGCGCGCCCCCACCCTTGTGGACAGCTGGTGGGTCCCCCTCGGTTGATTCTTTCGCCAATATTTTTTTATATCCCAAAAATATTCTCCATGGATTTTCAGGTCATTCCGAAAACTTTTATTTCTGCACAAAAATAACACCAAGGCAATTCTGCTGAAAACAGCGTCAGTCCGGGTTAGTTCCTCTCAAATCATGCAAATTAGAGTCCAAAACAAGGGCAAAAGAGTTTGGAAAAGTATATATGATGGAGACGTATCATTATTCCATACAGGTTGCCAATTCCTGCCACCGCTGCCTCCATGGGTCAACATTGTTCCACCATGATCACTCCCTAATGAATTACTCTCAAATTTCTTATATTTTTCTTCGATCCGTGGCCTCGTGTTTAGTTTCTTGCTCCTCAATTATTACCTCATCGCCAGTGGTGCGAAAGTCATGGAACTTACTTGCTTAGTCGCGTTTGCCTCCTCCATGAAAGCATTGTAGGTGTAGAACAGGCCTCCCCGCACCCACTCTGGTTATGGTCGCTTGTCATTGAATTGAACATGCTGCCGTCGTGCTACTTCCTACTGGCGATGCCATGATACCCTACTAAGGTTGTACAACTTTAACCACAAGAGCTACTTACTCCCATTTGTAAATTATACTCAAGTGTATATTCACTGTGAGGAAACTAAGAAGTATTCTTTCATAAGGAGGCCCTTCCTGTGGGTAGGTGCGTACACCTACTATATTTTACATCCGCTAGTGTTGGGGTTTTCTCATGAAAGTGTCGGCAAGGTACGGCAAATATTTTGGTGAGGGCATGGTAGATTAGAATGTTAAGGTGGAGACACTGTGAGTTTACCCAGGTTTAGGCTCTCTAGGGGAGGTAAGACCCTACTCCTACCTTATTATCTGTATTGTCAGGGTGTTCGCCAAGGATATAGTGGATCACTGGCAAGATCTTTCCTAACATTTACTGGTCACCCTACCTAGCAGCAGAGAGTGGGGTTGTAGAAAGTAGATATGTCCTATCTTTTTTACCTATGCCCCCGATGGGACCCTCTAGCCCGCCTTATATAGTCGGTCGGATTTGCATTACAAGTGTGGTTCTCAAGTCCCTGAGAAGGAGGTCTCGAGGGGTCAGAGATTCCCGGGATGTGCTCATGCATCCTTGGTGGATGAAGGTCTTAGTCTTTGGAACCTTGTTAGTATCTCTTGAGTGTTAGGTTTCCTCTGTTTCCTAGAGTGGAATAATGTGGGTCTTGTTAACTTCCCTTGTTATTCCACAGAGTCTTTCGAAGTGTGGTGTCCTCATACGTCAAGCTCCAATCCCATGATTAATGGAAAGGTGGGGAACCCACAATTCAGTGATTTTCAAAGGTTTTTGCCTCTGGATACATTGTGTTGTTAGTGAGATTTGCTTCGGCTACCCGAGGGGTAAGGGTATTGATGGCATCAACAAGATCGAAGGTTCGGAGGGTCACAGACACGTCTTTTCATGTTGGTGCTTTGAATGGTGGTGTCATGACTCTTGATGATGCCTCATGTGCGGAGTCCTTTCGGCTTCCCCCTATCTTATTTAAAGGTGTCAGGAAGAAATGGAATAGTCCACTTTATCCCTTCCCTGTGCCCCCCTTAGGATCTCTCATCTCTACCTATGCTACCTCACCACCTGAGCCCCACCACTGGAGGTTTCCTTGACCATGTTATGGTTTTCCCTTGGCCATAATGGAGTCTTCTTTCCCTTCTCCTTTGATCCCTGATCTAGGGGTCCTGCCAGTAATGGTTTCCCCTATGGTGGCCTCGCCTGTTCCCGAGTCGGACGATTGGTTGAATGCTACCCTGCTGACTCCTTAGCTAGTGGTTCTAATGGCAGCTGATGCAACGCGCGGGCTAACGCCCAGCATCAACATTGCCAATGCTAAGCGGGGATAAGAGGCAATGAAGGAGGCACCAAGGTAGAGGAAGAAGGAATTGATGTTGCTACGTAGGAGCATAAGGTTGATATGGTTGGATATTTACATGTATTAAAAAATATTTCAATGATGAAGGCAATCTTTCGGTTACATCACAACATATTTGGCTATATAAAACTGATTTTAAGAAAAAGACATATATGGACAATCTTTTCTCTCTCTCTCTCCCTCCCCATGTGTGTGTGTCTCAAAGATCCATTAGCAATACTAGTTTTGACCTATTGTGCTATCATATAAGTTAATTTTTTTTGAAAGCCGAGAATAAACTGACATCGCTTGTTAGGAAGACACATGCAACTTTGCATCAACATACATGTTTTTTCCTTCCAATAAAAGAGAATATGCACGGGACTCAGGCTACAATAGTCATACCATATATTGTACATGATTAATGCCTGGTTTTATGAAAACCAGTGGGGAGACCAGATTTACCAACAAATCCTAGAAGATCTCATTAATCATTAGAAATTATAATATCATATCTCCAATATATTGTATTAATAGCAATTATTAAAATCCAAATATTCTTGTTAATGAGATAATTAAATAGTACATGAGTCCATGCACGTCTATAGTTTTGTAAGATCCTTATAAATATCACCTTATGTAATACCCCACATAAGCATCAAAGGCATCCTAGCACATGCATCTCTATTCTCCATAACATCTACTACAAATTGTTGATACTGCTAGTAGCTATGGATCCTAATGGCTCCTATCCTAACATTTCCCCCTTGCATGAAGCATTGAGAGGCACAACAGCCATGCCGGTATTGAATGATTTCGTAGACCTTGAATCCCCATCATCATATTCACCTTCGATAGGAAATTCCTCAACAAAAATGCATGCACCACAAGAAGGTACCGTGATGCCGGCCAATGATAGTTCCATGATTCCATACCAATCTAGTGCAGAACTCGCACCACTCCCCCCACAGCTGGGTGATACAATCCCTATTCCTTTATCCTCAGACAAAAAAGGAATGTTCTCGCATGAAGGCTTCCTCACAAATCCTTTTTGGAATGAATTCAACTCGTCACATCAGATGCAGAATTTGTCCATGGAGGCTTCATCATTCACACCCTTACTCCAAACAGAGCCAAATTCAATTGTTCATTCCCATCTTTACACTAATGGAGTGTTGGATGATGGTTCACTCTTTAAGATGGCCACGAGGGATGTTTCCGAGGTAAGCTCACTACCGTCTAGGTTTCTTTGCTCTTCTCAAAAGATTCACCCCTTCACACCAAGTACTATGCAGAAGCAGATGAAGATACAAGATGAAAGATTATCAAATGCTGATCCATATGGTGTACCTGCCCCTGCTTCTCCTACCATGCAATCCTCACATATTCAAAGAGAAGATAAGATCCTTCTAGTTGGTCCAAATGGCATTTCTGATAGTGCTATTATGCATGATTCTACAACCCCACGTAAATACACATGCAAGATTTGCAATGCCACATTCAACACATCTCAAGCATATGGTGGTCACATGAGTTCGCATAGCAAAGCAAGGATGAAAAGCCTACAAGGTTGATCTTCCCATGTTGCTTGACATCCCATGCTTGATACTTGTGGGACCAATTTTTTCCTAAGCACACAATGGATGAAGGCACGGTGGTTTCACCGCAAGTGGAGAAAATTTATAAGAGGTTATTTATATTTGGAAACAAAATTATCAATAGAGTAGCATAAGAGTGAAGGTATGTTATGTGGGTGCGAAACTATTGACAATTATTTTCTTGGCTATGTTTGTGTTGCTATTTCCCTATGTAAACAACAATTATCTTTGATGGTTGTGTACTACTCACTCGGATCCAAAATATAAGCTGCATTTGTTTTTGTGCCAGTCAAATTTATGTACATTTGACTAGGATTGAAGAATAAAATATCAACATCTGCATTGCAAAAATAAAATAAAATTATGAAAATAGTTTTGATGATAGAGCTAATGATACAAATTTGGTATTGCAGATATAGGTAATTTTTTCAAAAATATTTGTCAAACATGCACATGTTTCACTTTTGAGAAAACTAATATACCTTCTATTTTTTGAATGGAGACACCTTCTATTTTGAAACAGATTGGTGGAGTATGTTAATTATCTTTCCCTTTTTATTAATTAAGAAATCACGCTTTTCAATGAAGGTTTGCTAGAACTTGGTAAAATATATGTTTCTTACCACAACTATTAAATTTATTTAAAGTTCAGTAAGAGTCCGTGATAATTTGCCATATGAAGAGTGAGAGAATCTCAACCATTTTTTATTAATGAATAGTTTCAGAATTGGCGATATCATATACCTATAACATGGATACTCAAATATGAGCACCACCTAGTGACTAAATCACATTTATGAATTTTCCCCATGAACTTGCATATAAATTGTACATAGCTACACATAAAAAATACTGCATAAATAAATTTAAATGATAAAAGCTAACCCATGCTGCTTCTATAGATGTTGCATATAGATGAACAAAGAAAACATACACTCAAAAACAATTTTCGATCCCTAAGAGCCGAAAAAGCCTATGTGACACATGGTTACCTATTGTGAAACCATAGGAGAAACAAGCTATAGATAAGAGTTACTTTTTATTGGTGGAGATGACTAGTCGTGGTTCATTGGTTAGTCAACTGCCACCACACTATTGAATCATCAAACAAACAAGATCAATGCTTTTTTTGTTGTTTATTTTCTAGGTACTATGGGGGGAATATCCTACATTGTTTTGTTTAATTTTTCTTATAACTAGATGACCCGTTGCACCAATTGGCGCAGAGACCAACTATAGCCCGGAATTTAAGCTAACTATTTGAAAGATTTTTTCCTCAACTGTTTGCAAATGATTATGTTTGTACCATGTTTCTGTTTTCCTTAACGATGATCATTGCACATAGATTTATTTGGCAACACATAGACCGTTTGCTTGAGCATGTGAGTAAACTTTGAATTTTCATTGGATGCTCTCATGTACAGCTAACGTTTGTACAAACATAGATACCCTAGTTGCCCTGAGAGAAACATCATCACAGTGATCATCTCCATCAACTTCGTCGACTTCATAAATATCTCCATCACCTTCCTGCCTCTCTATATAGTGGTCCACTCTCCTGCAACCATTTATAATCCCCTACTTGAACATGGTTTTTGATACTATAAATTATTACCCAATGATTTGTCTCATCGCTATTATGTCTTATTAGTTTCATTTTGTTCTATAGGTTAATTTGATCGCTGAGTTGCAGTGGAAGAAGAACGTGTCAGTGTAGATAGTACTTGGAGCCACTCGAACCATTGATGAACGATCCCGAAAACTGCCCATTAACATTCCCTCAAACTGAAGACCGAAATCACGACCTCTCTACTTGGTTGCAAGCGTGCAACCTTCATGATCCAGTAGCGCTTCACCGTCCAGACATAACTGTTGTCGAAGAATTAGTGGGAGGAGATTAGAAGCACAGTGGTCCTCTAATTATGAGGATTAGAGGATCTAGGTCTAGTTCTAATTACATCATCTAGGATTAACTGGAACTAGAGGGAACTAGAGGAGGCTCCGGGTTCCCTTCCCCCTTGCATCGGGCAATGAGAGTGAAACCCCCTCCAATTCGGCCTCCCCTTCCCTCTTTTCATGGGAGAGGGGGGCCACCCATATTGGGCCCTTGTGGCTGCCTTTCACCGTTTGGCCTTTTAAGGCTCATTGATATTCAATTAAGTATAAATGAACTCTAACAATTACTAGAACATATTACAAATAATTTAACAGCCCTGGAAATGTTTCCACCTATATATTAATTATCGGTAATACCCGGTATTACCTGATACTCTCGCAAACCCTTCTCGTGACCCGAAAACGCTTCTCTATCCTCTCAAAACCATTTTCAATATTTATGAAACAATTCGAAAAATATATTCTAATGAATCCCGTCCTACAAACACTTTGCAAATTGTGATTACCTTAAGCTTGTGACCCCGTAGGTTTGGTAAGTCATAGACATGAATGAAAACATTCGTTCAATAACAGATAGCGGAACCATGGGCGTCCATATCGATCCCTATGAGCACATGAATGACATTCGAGTGAACTTTAGTTATCATGTGATGTTCCCTTTGCTTCGCGATACTTCACATAACCCGGTATGCATCGGTATCCTCTTGAGTCATCACACGCTCACTATATCGTTTTCCTTGTTACCAGTTCTCTTCTTCTTCTTTCTCGTTGTCGTGTTTCGGCATCCTTGTAACGTAGTCACCACTAGTAGAAAACAGGGCTTTGGTCCAGGCCGGGTCAGCCCATTAGTCCCGGTTCAGTCCTGAACCGGGACCAATGGGGGCATTGGTCCCGGTTCGTGAGCCCAGGGGGCCGGCCGGGCCACGTGGGCCATTGGTCCCGGTTCATCTGGACCTTTTGGTCCCAATTGGTGGGATGAACCGGGACCAATGGGCCTCGCTCCTGGCCCACCACCATTGGTCCCGGTTGGTGGCTTGAACCGGGACCAAAGGCTCCCCTTTAGTCCCGGTTCATGCCACCAACCGGGACCAATGAAGTGCCTATATATACACCCTCACGTAAGAGCAGAGCACACTGCTCTGTTTTTTTCTGGCCGAGGGGGAGAGGGCTTGGTGGTGCTCTAGCTCACCTCCTATGCACACAAGGTGTTCGATGGAATGCCCGAGCCACACTACTTAAACTTTCTCCTCTCCAAGCTCGACCTCCAAGCTCCATTTTCCACAATATTTGTCTAGGTTTAGCGGTTCGTCACGCCCCGTCCCCATCTTCACCGCCATCGATCACCCACGCCGAGCTCATCGCCGTCACCACCGTGGTGAGCCTCTTGTTCTTATCTTCTTTCTGAAAGGAAAAATGTTCTTACTTGTATGTTTACATAGATACTTGTATTATTTTCTTACTTTTATTATTGCATCTTATATAGTGTGATGGTTTTGGTATCCGCCCCTGTCGGCCCTCGTCCTGTCTATGATTCGGATATGGTATATATATTATCTTTATAACTATTGGTTCATTTATTATTTATGAAAATTATGCCGACCAACGTGACATAGATTTTATTTATGTAGGATGTATGTGAATCGGAAATGCCAACCGACCCTATTGTCGAGAGGTTAAATTTAGTTGAAGAAGAAAACAATTTGTTGAAGGAAAAAATAAAAAAAATTGAGGAGGAGAAGATGATATTGGAGTTGCATGTCGCGGATGTCGTCGATGAACACAAGATCAAGATGGATGCAATGCGCTTCAAGATTAGAAAGATTAGAAAATATGCCATTCATACCGAGGCTTGGTATCATTATGTTGTTGGATCAATTGTTACCTTGGTTGCGATTATGATCGCATTTGTTTTCGCATTGAAATGTTTTACATAGTTTCAATGTATAATTTAATTAATTAGATGCTCTAGAGAGCTATATGTTGTTAGATGAGAACTATGTATGCACTTTGGTTTTAATGTGATGATGAACTTCTATTAATTTGGACACTTAATTATATATAATGCACGCAGATGAACCGACAATGGATGTACAGTGACAGACACACCTGCGAGTACATTAAGGGCGTGCATGAGTTTCTCGATGCGGTTGACGCAAACAAGCAGAATGGTTTTATGTGTTGTCCATGCACTGAATGTGGGAATACGAGGTCGTACTCTAACCGGAAAATCCTTCACTCCCACCTGCTTTACAAGGGTTTCATGCCACACTATAATGTTCGGACGAGGCACGGATCAATAGGGGTTATGATGGAAGACGGCGAAGAAGAAGAGTACGATGACAACTATGTGCCCCCTGAATACGGTGATGCTGCAACGGGGGGAGCTGGTGAAGATCAAGAGGAACCAGACGATGTGCCCAATGATGCTGCAACGGGTGAAGCTGCTGAAGATCAAGAGGAACCAGACAATGTGCCCGATGATGATGATCTCCGCCAGGTCATTGTCGATGCAAGGACGCAATGCGAAAGTCAAAAGGAGAAGCTGAAGTTCGGTCGCATGTTAGAGGATCACAAAAAAGGGTTGTACCCCAATTGCGAAGATGGCAACACAAAGCTCGGTATCGTACTGGAATTGCTGTAGTGGAAGGCAGAGAATGATGTGGCTGACAAAGGATTTGAGAAGCTACTGAAAATATTAAAGAAGAAGCTTCCAAAGGATAACGAATTGCCCGACAGTACATACGCATCAAAGAAGGTCGTATGCCGTCTAGGATTGGAGGTGGAGAAGATACATGCATGCCCTAATGACTGCATCCTCTACCGCGGTGCATACAAGGATCTGAACGCATGCCCGATATGCGGTGCATTGCGGTATAAGATCAGACGAGATGACCCTGGTGATGTTGACAGCGAGCCCCCCAGGAAGAGGGTTCCTGCGAAGGTGATGTGGTATGCTCCTATAATACCACGGTTGAAACGTCTGTTCAGAAATGAAGAGCATGCCAAGTTGATGCAATGGCGCAGTGAGAACCGAAAGAAAGATGGGAAGTTGAGAGCACCCGCTGATGGGTCGCAGTGGA